TATGTGTATATATGTATGTATATATATATGTGTATATATGTATGTATGTATGTATGTATATATGTATGTATGTATGTATGTATATATGTATATATTATCGCGTTAACGCATTAATTAATTGACGCCGACAATTATTTTATAGAGCGTTGGCGCATTTTTTTATTTTGAAAGTCCGTGGAGGAAGTCTTCAGCAGACTACGTTGATGCAGCGTGTGGGAGAAGTATAGATAAACAAAAGCAAGACGCACCATCACAAGGAGAATACACGGCGTTACAACGTGCACCAGCTGTTGCTCTCCCTGGAGACTACTGGACATCGCTGCGGTCAACTCAGCAGACACTTACATGTTAGTGCACCTATCTATATGCTGAAATTCATGGTAAACGCATACAAACGGCACAGATCGGGAGTGAGCGAAGGACTTTGAAAGTTAGCGGAAAGATTAACGTGAGATAACATCCGGTTTCTTCAGACGAACATCCGGTTTTCAGAATAAGATGCCAACAAAGTATGAGTTATATTCACATTAAGTATAAAACCTGCTACCTGCATCTCGTGAGTTAAAGGGAAAATATACATATGATATAAGAATGATATAATATAAGAAATATGATTGCTACTGTGTAAAGGGAATACTGCTGTTAAAAAGAACCTTATGTGTTTAAAGTGTTTGCAAACCAAATGTTATTGCCCTTTTGTTCATATAGCAGTACTTTTAAAATAAAATTGCGCAATACACTACTTTTGAATTCATTATCGAACTTTGCCACAATGCGATTAATCGCCATTAAATATTTTAATCGTTGCCCAGCACTAATTATAAGCTGCTTAGAGCTTGTGTTAGGAAGTTAAACAGGTCATCATTTTATCTCTAATATCTATTTATGTTATCCTTTTACTTTATCGTAAATTACAGTGATTATTTTCTTTGTAAAAACACAAATAGTTACTAGCTCTACTCATGTCAATTTAAACACGGATTGGTTGTTTACAATGTAGCTTATCAGAGATCAGCGACTAGAAAAGCCTTTATGCCAATGTCCCGATCGCATATTTTACTGAATATTGGTGGATAATGATCGTCACTAAAACTTTATTTCACACTGATGATTAACGGTAAACTGTAATTTAGCCGTGGTTCACATGCATGCCAAACTGAGAAGGGGGATCTGTATGGATTACGGATCGACAATGGTCCCTTACACCACTAATAAATCGATTATATGAAATGGGCCATTCTGCATAATGAGCATACTTTTAATGTTGGTACTTTTAAGTATATTTCGATGCTAATACTTTTGTACTTTCACTTCAGTAACATTGTGAATGCAGGGCTTTTACTTGTACCAGGGTATATTTACACTGTGCTCTCGTAAATAATTGAATCATCACATTGTTAAAATGGTAAAAGAGATGGGGTCGGATTTTCAAGATGAGTCGGGTGAGTTGCCGACATTGCAGTCAGACAGTCCACCCCAGTTTAACAGTTAACGTCACTCCTAGCAGGAAGGGCACAGCGAGCACTAAGTACATGGGCCCCAAGAAGTGGCTTAGTCCGGGTGCTGTAGAGCTGACAGGGCTGGAGCTGCTAGCCACCTTCAATTCTGCTCTCAGAGCTGAACTTGACCCAATCAGTCACACTTCCATCATCAGTTCTGGAAAAAAATATTTTTTTACTAGGTAAGTGAGCTGGTAGATTGACTATTTTACTTTCCCTGGGTAACTTGGCAATCCTTATTGTTGAGACATGATACGATTAAACTGAGACACTGACCATTTGACTTAGGGCTCTATGACGAATGATTGTCATCATTGAATTTATGGGTCAGCCCCATATACAATGCTCCTTTTATTGTGGCAAACACAAAGGCCTCCTTTGTGTCAAAGTTCCCATGAATGACAATCAGGTGATCTGCCTCAATCCTCTTGGACCAGGACTAGTTTTGTATAATTTAGGATGTATAGTATTCTTTACAGCTTTTCATATATAATGTCGTCTCACTGTTAGCATAAGTTATTTTGTAAACAAAGTACTGCCATTGTATTGAGAGTGTGGGACCATGAATGACGATACTCATTAACAGCAGAACTGTCTCTTGTTGAATTATTAATCTTTGTACTAGGGCTGTAACTAACGATTATTTTAATAATCGATTAATCTGGCGATTATTTTTTCGATTAATCGATGAATCGGATATTAATGGGTCAAAAAAGGCGAGTGAATAAAAATGTGTCTTTAGTCTTGCAAACTATACCACCCCTGCTTTACTGCTGTTATTAACGAGCTAACGCTAACTTGTCATGCTTGTCAATCTGGATAACGAGTAAACACCAGCACCAGAAGAGCTACTGGAGGGACGTTACGTTCCTCACTTCAAAACGGAACAAAAGTAGGATTCTGTAGTGACTAACCCTGCTGTTGAACTCCCTTCCTCCTCAAGGACTCCAACATGTTTACGTTGTTGAATCAGGAAATAAATACTGTAGCCGTCTGTGTTCACCCAGAGCTCTACGATACCTCATATCAATAGAGACCGGACCAAACTATGTGTATAAATGTGTGTGTGTAAACCATATGGTACAAACAATGAATAGACGCTGCCGTATTTACTTCTAGATGACGTTATTCTGAGTGTTGGTGGACACAGCATTGTAGCATTGCTGCTACAATGTTAGCATAGCCTATCCATCCGAGCTCCATTGAGAAGACGAGTAGCCTACAATCAGCATCATTACGTAGTTATTTCGGAGTCCCTTTTTGTCGGTTTATTGCCGTTAAATCACAGCCAAATCAGTTTATTTTGTGTTCATACAGCTGTAGTAAACAGCAACGTGTGGCTTGCTAGACACAGTGAATACACTTCGATAAAATCCACAGAGCTTCTCTGGACAATGATATGAACCAGACATGACGGCGTTTAGTTTCCCGGGATATCTGGGACTTCCACAACACCTACTAAGCAGAAATAGAGGTTATTTTTTTCCATGGTTAATGGCGGATAGTTGAATGAATGTATGTATGTATGTATGTATGTATGTATATATATATATATATATTGAAGTAGTCAACAACTGTCAAATCAAATAAAGAAAGTACACATCAATTATATTTTAACAATTATTATTCTCAGTTTTCAAATTTAACTGGATGGATAACTGACACAACAGAAAGCTTTTGAAAAATGTGCATCTTAAAATAAAGTAATTCATTTTAGAAAAATGAATTTCACCGATTTGCCCTGCAGTTTAAAATTCACTTTATTCAGTGATGTCAATGAAAAAGCCACATTTTTCTCATCTTCTAACAAGATAAATTAGTGTGCATGATCTTTATCTGTGGTTATTAAACCACTTGTTTCAGCTCTATTCTCTCTGGTAACATCATTGGACGGTGAATTTCAGATGTGAGTGGGTATATTTGCTCAAAAGAGTTGTGCTTTGTCTCGTAGTGGCGCTTCACATTACCGCTTTTAATAATCGTCATGGTCTCTGAACATGTGAGACACACTGGTTTTAAACTGTCCGTGGGAAGAATTAACCTGAATGAGTCTGCTCATTCTTGGTTAAAGACTCTGGTCTCTCTGGTCTCGCGGACCACTTTTCTCTCGTCATGTGAAATAACTTCTCTGACTCACGTAATTATTCTCCTACTCTTCGTCCTCTCTCCTTGTCTCTCCCGTGTGTGTATCTTACTCGATTCAGGAAACTTGTCAGAATACCCATATTTGATTGGCTGAGCTGCATCACGTGATGTGATTTGCACCGCTGAACAAGTAGCGTGAAGGCTGAAAAAGCTGTGCCGGTTAAAATAGAGGCGCTCTGTCAAAATGTAATAATTCTCAATTATCGGTTTTAGGTCCTGGGTCCGGATACAACGGCGTCTGGGTCCGGATCCAGACCGCGGCCCACCTATTGGCGACCCCTACATAACATCCTGATTAACAGGCTACGTGATTGGGTTGGCATATCTGGCATAGCGTTAGACTGGTTTACATCTTACCTCACTGACAGAACTGCATCCTGCATTGCTCTGTTCTGTTCTTTAATGTAACGTTACTGTAGCGACGGAGCCTCTCCCAGCTGTTAACAGAATGTTGTGCTAGCGGGCTAGCTAGCAAGCTGTACCCAACATGCCGTTTGGCGGTGAAATTTTATAAATGTACAATTATTAGTGTTACAAATTGTTTATTTGTCACAAACTGTGTCGTGGTGTTTTGCCCTGTTAAAAAGCGTTAGTTGTGGGTTATTAATTGTTATTATAACCACGATTAGAGGTCCCTCTCAATACAGTTAAGACAACTAGCTCCGACCGTAGCGCTGATAGCGGCGAACAATATATTCTGCTGCCTGTTGAAGAGTTACAGCAGTTGTTTCGGCTATGCCGAAACAACTGCTATGACGGTGTGTGAAAAATTCATATCATACGGGAAATTAAAACCGATATACCGCCCAGCACTACTACATGTCATAATTCTACCATTCACACCCATTCATACACTGATGGCAAAGGCTACCATGTGTTGCACCCTTAAAATGAACTGTCCATAGATGCATCCATCTTTGTTTTGCAACTTCTATTAACAGATCCCAAGGTTAAGCACAAGCACATTTTTTGCCTTCAGCCTACATATAGCATGTTTTCGAAACTCTTCTTTAAAGCGACAGCGCTCTCTTCTAAAGTGTCAATACAATAAATTGCTTCCCTTCACAGTTGGTACAGTTATCCTATATACAGTTATGTAATGTTTTAAAACCATTGAAATAATACAAATATGAATTTTAAATGGACAAAAAATATGAAATAACAGTGCGCTACACATGCAAAGTCCCACTTGCCCATCAGGGCTATCTGACATTCATACTCATTCATATTCCGCAGAAACAGCCTGCTGGGCAAATTGGGGTTAAGTCTCTTGCCCAAGGACACATCGCCGTGTACAAGCGGAGCCGAGGATCGAACACCGATCCTCTGATTGAAGGACGACCCTGCTCTACCATTAAGCCACAGTCGCCCCAAAACTGATTTTAAATATTGTTTAGTTGTCAACACAGATTATTTTTTCTTTTATATTGCTATATTGTGAACAACAAGAGTGCACAAGACTGTTTAAACAGAAGTGTATAGTACTAGTTTGTACGAGTGCAGATAGCGCAGAATGTACGGATCGGGTAGTGATTGACACGCATTTATATTGTTTCTGTGTCACATAATGAGCTGATAAATGATATGATGAAGTGATACCGGATTGGGGCATTGACTCCTGTACTTGCCAATACCCAATCCAACATTTTAAGCTGTATCCGAGGCATTTCCTCTAGTATAATGCAGTCCAATACAACAACATCCCAATCTTCAGCCTAAAAAGGACCCCACAAAGGACTTTCCATTTCAGGCGTTTCACTGTAGCCCTCCTATTCATTTTTATTTTTTCAGTAATTAAAGAAAGCACTCCAAATCTTCGGTATGAAGAGTTCTGCATTCCTGAAGTGAAATTCTGTAACAATTCTCACCTGCTTTTTGAATGTTTCCACTGGCTACCACTTGATCACTCTTGAAATAATGAAATAGAATTAACATTTGACAATATTCAACTGGAAAGCTTGTGTATCAGAATGTGCTTATGCCAGCATGCACTGTAGATGTTTTTTTTCTTGCTGCTGCCTTCTGACCTCTTAAACAATGGTGGGATGGTAGAATACATTTCACAAGGTGCCAGTCAGTACTTGACTCAGCACTCTTTGTTTATTACATTAGCTTAAACTAAATAATGCAGCTGTATACAACTTTTCTCTTTTTATTGAAATTTTTTTTATTCAAATCTTTAGCTGAATTCCTTAATTTAAATGTTTTTTACCAGATGATCTGATGATTATTTATTTTCAGCATATGAATATGAACTGAGTTTAACTGAAGTTTCTTGTTTTTCTCCTACAGCCAAATACCCAGAAATCAAGTCATTGATGGTTCCTGACCCAAGGCTGAAATGGATTGTGTGCATGATGGTAGCGATACAGTTTTTAGCTTTCTACATGGTCAAAGACTTGGAATGGAAATGGGTTTTGTTTTGGACTTATGCCTTTGGCAGCTGTATCAACCACTCAATGACGCTTGCTATTCATGAGATCTCCCACAACACAGCCTTTGGAAACAACAAGGCCATGTGGAATCGCTACTTTGCCATTTTTGCCAACCTGCCCATTGGCCTGCCCTACTCTGCCTCCTTCAAACGCTATCACCTGGACCATCACCGCTACCTGGGTGGAGATGGGATAGATGTAGACATCCCCACTGAGTTTGAAGGCTGGTTCTTCTGCACACGCCTTCGCAAATTCATCTGGATTATTCTGCAACCTCTGTTCTATGCCATTCGGCCCCTCTGCATCAACCCCAAACCTATCACTCAGCTGGAGGTGACCAACATAGCCTTCCAGCTCACATTTGACATCCTGCTCTGCTGGCTGTGGGGGGCCAAGCCTGTGGTCTACATGCTGGCTGGCTCAATGCTGGGGATGGGCTTGCACCCCATCTCTGGTCATTTCATAGCTGAGCACTACATGTTCCTCAAGGGCCATGAGACGTACTCCTACTATGGCTCCCTCAACCTGCTCACCTTCAACGTGGGTTACCACAATGAGCACCATGACTTCCCCAGCATCCCAGGACGCAGGCTGCCCATGGTTAGTACAGCTGCATGACTATGGAGATCACTGTTACCCACAGGTGGCACAAATCATACTGTCAGCTGCATTTACATGAGGTTAGGAAGGAACAAATCAGTTGGGTGGATACAAATCTGTCTAGGCAGGGAGCTTAACTAAATCCTCCAACATGGTTGCACATCCTGTGTTTGTCACTGTGTGAGAATGGTGTTTCAATGAAACCCTTTTTTAAAATTATCTATGATACTTGTTACATGAACATACTTTATGATCTTGTGTTTGTCTCTTTAACTAACTATCAAAGGGGATTTGATGTCAACAAACATGACAAGACTGAGATTTCTCTCATCTTGAGACAAAGGGAGTTTGGGGTTGGTATAGAAACCAGAAAGTTTTTGATATTGAGATAACACTAATTAAATCAGTATCTACTATCAGAGAGAATAGTTAAAAAAAAAGAAAAGATGTTTAAATTAGATAATTGGATCATGATTTCACACTGTGGGCCAAAGATAATTGGGTCATGATCTTACATTGTTGGTTCAAAAATAATTTATTTACCATGACCCTTCTTACTTTCTTTAAATTTGTATGAAAAGGTTGTGAACTATACTTGGTTATAATCTGGTTCTCTCAATAAATGTGTGTATGGACTGTAAAGGTTCACTCCATGATTATTAGATTAGAGTCAACTGGCAACTGTAACAATTTAATTATTTATCTATCTGTTTATGGTATTTAATCTGTGCAATGGCACAGTGCACATAAATAAATAATGCAATTGTAACAATGGGCCACCCCTTAACAGCCTGCAGCCTGACATGATCGGTGTTGGTTTGAAACACTCAAATCAAAGTTAGAAAATACAGTTCTCCCTAGCCTTTGCTTATTTGGTTATGTTTTTTTTTAGATTAATACTAATATTGCATAGGCTAAGCAGGATATTTTTGATGAGTTTTATTTTGTTTGTCAAGTTTGAATGTAGTGCGTTTTACAAATGGTGAGGTAACAATATTGTGTTTTTTAATGTATGTTTGAGGAGAGTATAACAGTTGTTTCTTTTCAAAGTCACATCAGCATTACCCACTTGTGTGGAAACAAAAGCGAAACCACAATATGATCTGTATGTAAACTGTAAACAGCTCTTTGAAATCTAATCTAAAATGCAACCTTAAAGCAATATTCCGTGTTTATTCTTTTGTTTCCTCTTTGTTTTCAGGTGAAGAAAATAGCAGCAGAGTATTATGATGACCTGCCTCAGTACACATCTTGGGTGAAAGTCCTGTATGACTTCATCATGGACGACGCACTGAGCCCTTACTCTCGAGTGAAGAGGAAGCTGAGGGGAGATGTCAAACAGGAGTAACTTCACCTAAAGCTGGGGAAAAAAAGCTTCAATGTCCATCGTTTCATCTAGGAGTTAACAGCTTTTCCAAATGAATAGATTCAGCATGGGAAATAAGGGGGGAAATTGTGAAAGAGTGCTTTTCCTCTACAGGAAGAGAAAATTGTTTCAGTTATTTGTAATGAAGTTCAGAAAGACCAAGACATTATGTTAGTTTGAAAATATGAGTTTGCTCGTGTGATTATTGGCAGTACCTAGGGTTGGTTACAAAACAAACAAAATGTATTCTAAACAAACTATAAATTGATGGGTGGATTGTCATAAAATTTGGTGTCCCCTTCAGGATGAATTGTAATCTCAATGGTGATCTTCTAATTTCTTAAAATATTTTAAATATTCACAATTCAAAATATTCTCAATTTGTGCAATACTGTGGTTTAAAACTAACCCAAATGTCTACTGAAGGCATCTGTATTGTGGTCGGGCTCAATTCTAGCTAGTGTGCTGATGTGCACTGAACATGCAAGTGCTCTTTACTCATTGGACTTTCAATATCTCTGAGGCCACAAAGTGTTTATTACCACACTGATCAATAATGTGTAAAAAAAAAATCAACAATGAAATATGAACAGACATCTGCTTCAAGTAGTTATTTAATCCAACCATTTAATTAGCGCTCTCTTGTCCTCGGCTCACTACTTGTCAGCATCTTAAATTGGTTAGTCTTTCTTTTTAGGGCCCTGGCACTGAAAGTGCTATGAGTTCGGACATATTTCTCATTGGCTGTAATTAACTCTGCTCAACCAAAAGTTGGCCGTTTTTAATTTAGTTTAGTAGTTTTCATGTATTTTATACAAACTTTTTCAAACTCCTCCCAGAAGGTTTATCAGATTTGTCTCTGAGTTTTTGTGGAACAGCGTTGCTGTAGCAAGGCAGGCAATGTGAATCTTTCGTAATGACATGCAAAGCTGCTGTAACTTCACTTTATATCATCCAATCTGTCCCAAATTTCACATGCTGTATAAGTCCAGACCCGAAGGAATCTACACATCCATATTGAGATATAGTCATTGCACCACCTACTGACAACAGGAAATTGGCAGTACCTAAAACAAAAATCATCCAATTAACATGAAATTTAAATGTGTGTTTAAATATGATATATAGTAACATGACATAATTAGTATGTGTTCTGGGACAGAATTTGCGTAATTTCCAGCACTGGCGTGTAACTCGGACATGCGCATAAGGCAAAAGGCTGTTCATCGCTGCTTGCAGATTTAATTTCTTTTTTTTAAACTTTGCATTACGCTAGTAAGAACAAAACACTTACCCAAGCCCACACAGGTTGTTACACCATCTGTGGTGACTGATTGCAAACCATGTCTAAGGTCTTTGCATCGCTGTTTGTTTGCTGCTACAGAGATTAATATACAACTGAATGAACTTAGACATGTCTCCCTCCATTTTGGACTCCACAGTTGGAGGTTAACAACATAAAAGCAGCTTTGCTATTGGTTTACTGTGTGTGTGCGTGCGCGCGAACATGCGCGCACACGCACGAACGTGCATGTTCAAGTGGATCAAAGTTGAACTCTGAGGGAATCCACTCATTAAGATTCCTCTGTATGAATTGAGTTTGTTGCAACATAGGGAAGTATGATCTGGTCTGTTTGAAAGGATCGATGCTGAGTTTATGGGAAGGCTTGCATTGGTTTACTTTGTATATTACATTTCTTAGAAATTGCTCTGCTCTTTAACATACAACACTTAATGTACCATGATATTATGCAACCTGTTGTAATGCTCCATACAAACTGTGACTATAACAAGTCAGTTTAATGTTGAGTTGTATATGAGTTGAAAGTGTAATATTCCTCAGTGCCTTCAGAGCTTTGTTTTCAATTCTGATTGTGATGTTGATTTAAATGTTATGAATTTATTCACTTTGATGAAATAAAGTCAATTTTGACTACTTAAAAGCCAATGAAATAAATGAATTAATAAAAAAAAAAATATATATATACTTTTTACCCTTTAGAGTGTTATTCCTGGCAATAGAAAAGTGCAGCATTTAGACCAGGCTTCAAACTCCAAAAACCTAGGGAGAATCCCAGTTCTCTCCTCCTGAAACTGTCTTCAAAGTCAACCTCCCTGACTTTGTGGGCTAGGTCTAACAATACATTTGACACGTGGAACCTTATGAATTTGTCTGGCAGGCCAGATCTAGCCCATAAACCCATCTGGCCCATGTTTATGTTGGAAAATAAAATGTACAGACAATATTGTAAAGTTGAATTAAGTAAAACAAACAAAATATATACTGTTTAGGTGGGAGGGTGCATCTGTGGACTTGGACTCAGTTTTTCAAAAATCTGTATGGAGGGCTGCATACAGGTTGATACAACAGGAGCACTTCCCTTCTGGGGCAAATTTAGGTGGGAGCAAAAACTTAATGGAGGGTGTGATGTGTGCACAGGTTCCCGATGTGGAGCCTGAAATACACATTTTACTTTTTTGAGGTATTAATTGAATTTTGAAAGTCTTTTATTAATCTGCTAAAAGATACACACCATATCAAATTGAAAGTTCATTATTTACCTTAGAAATAGCAGTTGAAAAAATTGTGGAGTGCAAAACTGGTAACGCTCTGAATTTCGTTGATACTAAAGTTGTGTAAGGTGAAGGTCCTGGACAATACCTACGTGTTTTCTTTCATGTTCTGTGTTCTATGTTTCAACGTTCTCTCTGTGTCCTTTTATGGACATAAATAAATACTAATATTCTAAAAGACAGTAGCAAAGTAAAGATAGCAGGAAAGTAGAAACGAACAACTTCCATCTCAACACCAAGTCGTGTTTTATTTCAGCACAGTTGACACTAAAAACTATTGAAAAGACTACTCCTAACACACCATGTTACCATAGTTACACACTGATGCTTTTAAGCAGTGGTGTATACCCAAAGGCCATACTTGAGTAAAAGTAAAGATACCTTACTGGAAAATGACTCCAGTAAAAGCGCCTATTACCAATTATCACCTATTAGAATACTACTTGAGTAAAAGTCTTAAAGTATCTGATATTTACTGTTCTTAAGTATCAAAAGTAATTTTGTGATATTAAATGTACTTAAGTATTGAAAGTAAAAGTACAAGTAAATGCTGTTAATAAAAAAGCAAAGGGTCAGAATTATGAAGTTTATTCTTTTAAATGATGTGGCCACCATGACCAAATGCATAATATTGTGTTCAGCAAGAAATATCCACTTGATGCATCAGGTCAGTGTTTAGAGAAAGGACACATGCCTTGTAAACTCCTATGGGCCTGATTTGAATACAATAGGCAAAGGTCAAGCTGAATCTGCAATTGGGCGACTGCTACCATCATAACTCGATCTGATCATCCACAAAATGACTCAAATATCAAAACATGATCGGTAATAAAGCAGCACCGAAAGTAACAACCCAGTCATTACTTGAAACTGAAAAATGTCCTGTTCATCTTCAAAAGAAGTTGGTTTTTAAAATTGCGAGAATTCAGTCTCGCTCTTCTTGGGCTGAAGACTAGTCCTGCGATGCTAAATAGCCTTTCACAGGCCGCTGAGGCAGGTAGAGGTGTGTTCAGCTTCACAGACAGCTTGCGCACAGCTGGGAAGGATTTCCCTAATGCTGCGCTCTCGCAGCTCCTGTCAATCCTATGGTGTGGTGGCTAGCTAACGTTAGCCAACTAGTGCTGCAATGATTATAGCTAAGATGACTCAAATCAACAACATCTCACAACTGTCAACACTTCCTCAGCTCACTAACTCGCTAGTGATCCACGGGTGTTGGTCTTCGTCACCACCGTAGTTTGTTGCGGGAGTAGCAGGTGCTTCCATTTCTGCTTCCGTCATGAAATCAGTCATCGTAGAGTGGAATTCTGCTCATGTAGTCGCTCGCTAGCTAGCATCCTGGGCATCACTGGGAATTTAAAAAACGCGGCTTTGAGAGCACTTGTTTGCAATTGCGCATTAACGTGATTAACCAATGATTTAACTTGCAAGCTAGGACCACTGATTCGCCAAACCTGCTTGTTCCACCACAGTCCCCGACGTTGGTCTCATGATTCATTTTTTTTCTAAAGATAGATTTGATTTTGTAGCGAGTAACGATGGTTTCATGGGAAATGTATCGGAGTCAAAGTATCAGTTTTCTTTGCAAAATGTATTGAATTAAAAGTGAAAGTCAACAGAAATATAAATAGTAAAGTGAAGTACAGATATCCAAAAAAACGACTTAAGTACAGTAACAGTCCATTTTAATAATTTTGATGCTAGAATACAGGTAACACTTGTGAGATGTGTTGAGATGTGAAAATATTGTGTATATGTTACTGGTTAAGAATCAGGTTCTCATGAAAACATTATGAAACTGTGAAATCAACCATCCTGTGGCACTTTTTTGAAGAAAATCTTTGAAACTATGTTCACTTTCACAAAATCCACTTTTGGCCTCTTCCCAGCCTGAAACGTCTTTTAAGAGCATACAAAGCTGAGAATGTACCTTAAACCAGTAAAGGTGAATGAAAACATCATGAAACAGTGAAATCAACTGTCCTGAGCCAGTTTATTGAAGAAAATCTTTGAAACTGTTTACTTTCACAAAATCCACTTTTTTGAAGAAAATCTTTGAAACTATGTTTACTTTCACAAAATCCACTTTTTTGAAGAAAATCTTTGAAACTGTTTACTTTCACAAAATCCACTTTTGGCTTCTTCCAGGCCTAAAATGTCTTTTAAGAGCATAAAAGGCTGAAAAGCTGAGTTCCTCGGAGAACAACTATCCAGTGCATCAGCTTGAATTCCTGGCACTTAAATGGGCTGTGGTAGATACATTTCATGACTATCTCTATGGAGCAGGTTTTACTGTGAGGACAGATAACAACCCCTTAACGTATGTCCTCACGACAGGCAAACTAAATGCATCGTTGGCTTGCTGCGCTCTCGACATACAACTTCACCCTCCAGTACCGACCAGGAGGTAGCAACATTGACGCTGATGCATTGTCGCGCAATCCCTTTCCAAACAATGATGTTGAGTGGCAAAACATCCTACCTGAAAGTGTCAAAGCTCTCTGAACACAGATCAGATGTGGGAAAGCAGCTGGAGAGTCCCTCAACTGTGGAAACCCCTTTTAATATTTTATATTAGTTTTGACTTTTCAATTTCATAGTTTTAGTTAGCATTCAGAGTATTTGCTGGTTCTATCTTAGTTTCAGTTTGTCAGTCAAATGCAGTGAAGTCCCTCATGAAGGATTTGACGCATTGGTTCATATCTGATGTCTTGCGCTTTACTGGTCTTCCACTTTCCATTCTTTTCTTGACCACTGCACTGCACTGCATTTGCTGGCACTGCATTTGCTGTATTAACCCTGAAAAGCAACGCAATACAAATGAAAATGGAAGTTAATATTTAGAACCACCAAGCTCATCAGTCTTTTCAGGGCATATTAACAAATGAATACAACAATCAAACTCTTTTTATATAATAATTGGGCAAACTGTTTTTACAGCAAAATCAAATAGATGCTGATTGTAAGAAGTCCTATTCTTGTATTGTCGGCAAATGCCACCTAAATGCAAGTACGGTGATTTTTACCTGGTCAATGCTACAAGCAGACTTTAATGGAGAAATAAGTTAAAATAAGTTTCAGGCTGGGAAGAGGCCAAAAGTGGATTTTGTGAAAGTAAACATAATTTCAAAGATTTTCTTCAAAAAACTGGCTCGGGACAGTTGATTTCACTGTTTCATGATGTTTTCATTAGAATCTGATGCTTACACACCTTTACTGGTTTAAGTTACATTCTCAGCCTTTTATGCTCTTAAAAGACGGTTCAGGCCTGGAAGAGGTAATGCAAATGCAAAGAAACGTGATGTACATAAGAATTTTTAACAATAACTTTGTATATGTTGTGGCTGCTTCCACCTGATACTCAAGGGCCAGGGCAGTTGTGAAATCTGGCATGGGAGGTAAATATGTGACATTCTGTGGACAGCATCCACCTGGAGGTGTTCGCAGATATACATACATACAATAAACGTATGCTGTACATGATTTTAAAAGTCCAATCGTGGCAAGTGAGCATATTTGTTTAATCGCTGTTATTATAAACTGCAAAACTTACAATCTGTGCCTCTCCACCAAGTCAGAGACGCAAACTTTGACGAGTTTCAGCCTGTTTTTTTCTGTAACAATGCCCTGAGTTTGGAGTTCCGCAAATATTTCAGGAACTTTCTTTTTCTCAATCCATCTTGTACATCCGGCTCCTTTTTAGGCTGAAAAGAGAACTAAGAGCAAAGCCGAACAAAGCAGAAATTTAGACTAATTTCCATGAGATTCTTTGGAACAAAATTTGACAAGATGTACACATAACCCCAAAAAATATAAATTAAAATGTACCTGAGTTAGACAGACTTCTCTTGCAACAGGTCGAAAATGGGCACTTGTAATCTGTCAAGGTACACTACTACCAACATCTGTAAACTCTTGGAAATCTGTGTTAAATTTTTAAATCCTTTCAAGGACAAATCCCAATTCGCTCGTCTTTTCCAGAAGTTAGTTTGTGCTTTGGACACTGTCAATTTTTATTTTCAATCCTTAAATGTGGTTGCGAGGATTTTCACAGCCCTGAAGCTCTCCACATTGATTTTATATTCATGTGCAGAAAGGTCCTTCGCCCTATATAATGGCAGGGAAAGCCCTGCTACAAAGTCAACTGTGATTAAAGAACTTGTTCTAGTCCCTGTTCAAGCCAATTATAAACAGCTAATTAATATTAGTTCCATGTAGGTTAATGTCACACTTAGTTTCTTTAACAAATCAAACAGTTAACCCAAACTTTACATTTAATAACGTTACCGCTTAACCACTTAAATATACTTACTTTTCCTCTGCCCCATCGCTAACACCTGTCTGCTCTAAGCGCATCTAACTCTCTCTATCGTACACCTCAACACGTACACACTGACGTTAACGTTACGCA